ACACCGCGAGACACCTCGGGACACTTGTCGATCTCACTATCGATCTCACTCGACGAGACACCACGGGCCACCACGGGCCACCACGGGAAGCCACGGGACACCGCGGGACACCTCTCGATCTCATTATCGGTCTCACTATCGATCTCACTATCGATCTCACTCAACGGGACACCATAGGACACCACGGGACACCTCGGGACACCACATCGATCTCACTATCGATCTCACTATCGATCTCACTCAACGGGACACCACGGGACACCTCGGGACACCACGGGACACCTGTCGATCTCATTATCGATCCCACTATCGATTTCATTTTTTGGGACACCATAGGACACCTCGGGGCACCACATCGATCTCAGTATCGATCTCAGTATCGATCTCATTCAACGGGACACCACGGGACACCTCGGGGCACCACATCGATCTCACTATCGATCTCACTATCGATCTCATTTTTTGGCACACCACGGGACACCGCGGGGCACCTCGCGGCACCACACCGATCTCAGGATCGATCTCACTATCGATCTCACTATCGATCTCACTCAACGGGACACCCCGGGACACCACGGGACACCACGGGACACCACGGGACACCGCGGGACACCGCGAGCCACCGCCGGACGGACGGACGGACGGGCGGGCGGGGGAGAATCATCTGTCTTGACTTCGCCCTAGCAACGGCGGACACCACGGGACACTACGGGACACTACGGGACACCGCGGGACACCGCGAGCCACCGCCGGACGGGCGGGAGGGGGAGAATCATTTGTTTTGACTTCGCCCTAGTAACGGCGGACACCACGGGACACCACGGGACACCGCGGGACACCGTGAGCCACCGCCGGACGGGCGGGCGGGCGGGGGGGAATCATTTGTCTTGACTTCGCCCTAGCAACGGCGGGTTCATTCCTCTCGCGCGCCCACGCAGCTTCGCCTCGCCCGCACGCACGACACGAACGAAACGAAACGATTTCCCGGTTGGGGGTCTCCGTTCCACTGCGATCTCACCCCCCATCCTCCAATTCGCACTGTTGGTCTGAACACCGGGCAAGACGACCCAAGAGGCCCCCAGCATGGCCCCAAGACGGGCTCAAGAGGCCCCCAGGAGGGCCTCAAGTGGGCCCCAAGACAGCCCAAGAGGGCCCCACGACTGCCCAAGTAGCCTTCAGGACGGCCCAAGAGGGCCCCAAGAGAGCTGCAAGAAGCTGACATTTCGAGCCCTCCGCACCAAGATGACTCCCGAGGCCGCCAACGAGCCTCCAGGATGCCCCCCAAGACGTTCTCAAGAGGCCCAAGGAGATCCAACATATGTCCGAAAGAGGCTCCACAAAATGCCCAAGACGTTTCAAAACTGTCCTTAACACCCTCGAGAAGGCTTTCGAGCCCTCCCCCCAAAAGGGCACCTAGGATTCCAGACTATGCCCCCAACAGCCCGCCAATGCAAGAAGCCCCCAGAAGCACGGACGACCCACCCAAGAGAGCCCAACAAGCCCCAGGAGACATGCAAAAGAAAGTTTTGGAAATATGTCCCCAGGAGCCCCAAACCGCGCCGTTAGATGGGCGAAGACACCCCAGGATCGCCTTATAAAAACCATAAACATACTTCCAGTTCCAGCCCAAGCGATTATCCCATGGAGAGATTTCGGGACGGTCTTTCGATTCTTGCAGGTTCTCGGGCTTTGGGGGGTACTTTCCATGGGCCCTGCCTCTTCGAAGGTGCTCCAGGGGCGCTCGAATCCTCCCGAATTGCCGCCTGAGGCCAGGGTTACCACCCGACAACCAATTCAGATGATGATGCTGTTGTTGATGATGATGGTGACGATGATGATGATGATGATGATGATGATGATGATGATGATGATGATGATGATGATGATGCTGATGCTGATGCTGATGCTGATGCTGATGCTGATGCTGATGCTGGTGCTGATGCTGATGCTGGTGGTGCTGCTGCTGCTGCTGATGATGATGATGATGATGATGATGATGATGTTGATGCTGCTGATGATGATGATGCTGCTGATGATGATGATGATGGTGGTGGTGACGGTGATGGTGACGGTGATGCTGGTGATGCTGGTGATGCTGATGATGATGACGATGATGGTGATGGTGTTGGCGATGGCGATGGTGATGATTGTGATGGTGATGACGGTGATGGTGATGGTGATGGTGCTGATGACGATGGTGATTGTGATGATGAAGATTATTCTGACGATGCTGGTTATGATGATGACGATCATGCTAATGAAAATGATGTTGATGATGATGCTGATGATGATGACGAGGAGGAGGATGAAGAGGAGGATGGTGGTGATGATTGACGATAATGATGAGGATGCTAAGGACGATGATGATGATGACAATGAGTAGGGTGGTGATGATGGTGATGATGATGGTGACGATGACGATGACGATGACGATGATGATGATGATGATGATGATGATGACGATGCTGATGATAATGATGATGCTGATGATGATGACGATGCGAGGATGTTGATAATTATGATGATGATGTTGACGATGATGATTATGATGATGATGCTGATCATGATGATACTGATCATGATGGTGGTGATGATGGTGGTGATGATGATGATGGTGGTGGTGGTGCTGATGATGAGGATGATGATGATGCTGATGATGATGACGATGATGAAGATGATGATGATGATGATGATGATGATGATGATGATGATGATGATGATGATGATGATGATGTTGATGATGATGATGATGATGATGATGATGATGATGATGATGGAGGAGGAGGAGGAGGAGGAGGAGGAGAGGAGGAGGAGGAGGAGGAGGAGGAGTTGGAAGAGGAGGAGGAGGAGGAGGAGGAGGAGGAGGAGGAGAGAAGGAGGAGGAGGAGGGGGGAGAGGGCGAGGAGGTGGATGAGGAGGAGAAGGAGGAGAAGGAGGAGGAAGGAGGGTCATGAAGGAGGAGAAGGAGGAGGAGGAGGAGGAAGTAGAACACCGACGAAAGATGAGTCGGCGAGGAGGGTGAGGAGGACTACGAGGACGCTGGACCCTCTGGTCGGCACCTCTGGCGCCGCCCCTGGCGCGCTCCGCGCGCCAGGAATGGGGGTTCCAGTGCCGATCCAAGAAGTCCGCGCGGACACTCGAAAGATTATGATTATAGAGTTGTTATCTTTTTGAAAAAAGGAGGAGGAGGAGGAGGAGGAGGAGGAGGAGGAGGAGGAGGAGGAGGAGGAGGAGGAGGAGGAGGAGCGTTCTTCGACGTGAGGGGGACAGGTCGAAAAATACGTAACGGTACACGTAAACAGCGGCGTTCGTACCAGTCTCCGCGGAAAGCCGTAACGTAGAAGGACATCTCCCCCAGCGCATGTCATGTGGCTGATTGATTATGCAGGGGGGTTGCAAGCGTAGTACTTGACGCAGTGGGCAAGGAAAGCGATAAGTCCTGGGTAGTGCTTGCCAGGCCCGGTGCAATGATCAATGTTTGTTCGCCTTGCCCCACCCAGTAAATGAATTGGATCTCGACCGCGACAGACCTCAATGTCGTCGTTCGATTTCACCGTCGGCCGACGGCACTCGCTACAATCGCTTGTACGCCCATTCGCGTCGACGTCGCAAATCGCAATCGGATCGGCGGCTGAAATCGCTCGGACACTCGAGTTGGCTGCCATTGGCAGGAGAAGGGGGAGGGGGATGAGAATGACAAGGAGGATGGATAATAAGAAGAGAAAGGGGGACCAGGGAGAAAAGGCAGGAGAGAGGATAATGACAAGCTAGACGCGCTCGCGCCATATCTGATATCCTACCCCTCCCACCCCCGTCCCTTCTCATTGCGCTGTTTTTTCTCTATCTCTGTACGCGTGTCATAGCGGACCTGGAACTCCCAAAAAGACTCCTCGTGCTATGAGCAATCGGAATGGAAGAGTTGAGCAGGAGGATAGGGAGGAGGATGAGGAAGGAGGAGGACGAGGAGGAGGAGGGCGGGGACGAGCAGCAGCAGCGGGGACTGGAGTGGAAGGAGCAGGAGGACAAGGGGAGGGTAGTGGAGGGGAAACGAGGGGGGCGACAACGATGAGGAAGGACTCGGATCCAGAACTGTTTCTTCCGCGCTGGGGCGACAGCGTCGTTCTGAACGACGGGGGCAGGGCGCCGATCCGAAAGTGAGGCCGACACCTCAAGAGTAACACCGTTTGGAAGCAGCGCAAACAGTCGAATTGCAAAACGACATACGAACAGTCACCTTTGTCCAATCCGGTGCAACAAAACGCTACGCGACGAGGGCGGCCCTCTCTCGAACCCGCAGTTCGAACCCCACCAGAATTGGAACCGAGGAACTGAGCCAGAATTGAATCTGGAACTCGACCAGATCCCGCCCCCCAGAACCAGAACCGCAACCGGAACTAAACCAGAATTGAAACCGGAACCTGGCCAGTTCCCGTCTCTCAGAAGGCAAAACCAGAAACATAACCAGAAGCGCTCCCAGCCCAGAACCAAAAGCGGAGCTGGAATTGATCCGGAACCAGAATCGGACTTGAAGCAGATCTGAAACCAGAATTCGGCCAGTTCCCGTCTCCCAGAAGGAGAACCGGAATCGGAACTGGAACTGGAACAGTTCTTTGCCCAGAACCAGAGCCGGAACAGGAAATTGAACCAAAATTGAAACTGGAACCCAGCCAGCATTCGTCCCTCAGAGGGAGAACCTGAACCAGAACCAGAACCAGAACAGTTTCCAGCCCAGAGCTGGAATCGGAAGCGCCTTTGACCCGGAACCAGAAACGCGCAAGTGAACCAGCGGCTGGTCTGCAGCCCAAAGTCCTGAGCCAAGCCGAGCAGAAGGCGAGGCGGCCGAGTGTAATGCTCTAAGGTGTCGAGGTGTTCATCGTAAGTTACTTGCAATCCGCAACGGGTTCCACTCCATTCCATTCCACTCCAGTCCTCTTCTTCCTCCTTCTCCTCCTCCTTCTCCGCCTCCCCCCTCCTCTCTCGAGCACGGAAAGCCGGGGCAGGCATCGAAAGCACCAGGGCCCACGACGTGGTGGCCGTGACGCATGTGATGGTGCCTCCGGCCGGTCGGGGGGCCCGCGCGGTGCGCCTCGCTCGGGGGAGGGCGCACGATGGCTGTGTCCGGGATGGCGGGTGTTCTTATCCGGCTGCCTGCGAGAAGTCCCGCCACCGTGCCGCCCCAGCTTGTATCGGTGATTTACGATGACGATTATGGTGAGGACGATGATGATGATGATGATGATGATGATGATGATGATGATGATGATGATGACGATGATGATGAGGATGAGGATGAGGATGAGGATGAGGATGAGGATGAGGATGAGGATGAGGATGAGGATGAGGATGAGGATGAGGATGAGGATGATGATGATGATGATGAGGATGATGATGATGATGACGACGATGACGATGACGACGACGATGACGATGACGATGACGATGACGATGACGATGATGATGATGATGATGATGATGATGATGATGGTGTTGTTGATGATGACGATGATGATGGTCTCACCCCCCTCAACGGAGACTCCAGTGGGTAACCCCCCGAGGTCCGGCGTCGCCGTTTCCCGCTTTGTCGTGGAGTGCATTAAGTCTTCGCAGGATCTTCCGTCGCCGTTTTTTCTCCGGGGTTCCTCGGCGTTCTTTGGGGTGCAGCCCGCCTTTCAGTGTTAAACGGAAGTAAACATTCTCGACCTTCAAATCAAGTATGCAACCGCTGATTCGCAACAGGAGTCACGAAAGCGAGAATTCTGCATATTGCAAGCGCGGAGTGAACTCACGCACGGCGAAGTCGAAGGGGCGGCGCGCGTGTTTTCTTTCAACTTCTCGAGGCATGCGATTTACATTGCCGTTTTATGCGCGCATGGAAAATACGCCACCACATGCCATATGCCATATGTTGTTTTTTCTCTGTTGTCCGGTAAGTGCTTTGGCGTGTCATCGTCGCTGTTTTTTCGAAGAGGTTCATTGAAGCTTTGAGTTGTTTCGCAGTTTTTTGTCGGGGTGGGTTGTGTGTGGTGGGCGAGTCACGTCGCCGTTTCTCGGTGACACTCCGCAGGTGTGCAGGAATGTGATGTTCTTCGCTGGTCTCTCTAAGCGGATGGGTGAGATAAGAATCAAGGGGAGTGATGTGGTGGTGGTGGCGGTGGTAGTGGTGATGATGGTGATTGTGATGCTGATGATGCTGACGATGACCTCTGCGCCAGTCTCTCCTGGCGGCGCGCGCAGGGGGGTAGGAAGGAGTGGGTGGGGCTTCCTAGAGGGAGGCTGCTTCTTAGAAGGCGCCGGCCGTACATCTACAGACAAGGCCCGCGCCTTCCAAGAAGCAGGGGTGCTTCTAGGAAGCTTCCCCCCCTCCACCACCCTAGCCTGATGGCACTGAGCCACAGAGCGGCTCGCCGCGAGTCGAGGCTGGCCGAGCTTGGTCCGATCTGTTTCCTCAAGGGTTTGACGATGCTTCTCGGATCGTTTTGCAAGCCGGACTGATCGAGGTAACCAATATACAGCCAAGACGGTGAAATAAGGATGAGTTTGGGTTCCAAAGGGGCTCGATGTTTCTTAGATCCTTCCATGGCTGCTTCTCTAGCCCTCCTCGTGCACGCTGGCGCCTCTGAGGGCCGAGAAGGGGCTTCGTTCTTTATTTATCAGTGTTCCGTATTTAAGCAACCCAAGCGTATGCAAATCGGTTCAAATCCAGATAATTTCAGGTACATCCAGTTATCTCCAGCTGGTTTTAGAGAGGTCGTGGACGTTCCAGCGCGAGTCGAGGGGCAGCAGAAGCCTGTAAGTCCTTGACGAATCCTCTTTCTTCCTCTCTCCTCCCCCGCCCCTCCGTGGGCCCAGTGGTGCAGGTGCTGGTCCTGCACAGGCACGCGCTGCTCAACGCCGTGGTCGCGCACCCCGACGCGGGCGAGGCCTCGGCAGCGGGCGCTTAGGCTGCAGACTCGTGTTTCCCTCACCCTGTCACGCCAGGGGCCTGGGGAGGAGGAGGGTCAGGAGGGGGAGGAGGAGCAATGGGGGCAGGGAAGAGGAGGAGGAGGAGGAGGAGGAGGAGGAGGAGGAGGAGGAGGAGGAGGACGAGGAGGATCAGATCGGATCGGATCGGATCGGATAGGCAGTGCGCGTGTCGTGTGACGTCCAGGGCGATTTCCCTGTCACCACACCTCTGGCCGTACCCCATCCATGCGCCCCCCCTGAGCTGGGGCTACTACTGACACGGCCGACACGGCCATGGCTGCCGGTGCAAGCGGCAGCCTGCCTGTACACTTGCCTGCCTGCATGCCTGCCTGCTGCCTCGCCGTCCTCTCCCTTGGGAGGGGGGCTCTGTCGGAACATACGAGCGCAACGGCTGGCGCTGCTCGCCGCGAGTGGGTCCAGTGTCTTGAGCGCCAAGGAGGGTCGGGCCGGACGGAAAGGGGAGATTGGGAAGGGGGGAGGCAAAATCTGTTGTGTGCAGCTGGCTCTGCCCCGACCTCAAGGCGCCCTCCTCGATGCAGTGGCGTCTCTGGCGCTGGGAAAGCTAACCACGTGAGCTGTTTCGCGAATCCGCCCCTGACTTAGCCTCCCTCTCGTCCGATCCGATACGAAGAGGAGGAGGAGGAGGAGGAGGAGGAGGAGGATCCGATGAATCACAGCACGACCTCGACTACAACCTACGCGGCATTGGAGCTCGGAGCAGTTTTCATACCTGCCAACACTTCGTGGGGATGGATGAAGACGTTGTACGACCACCACTACACGCTGGCAGACCTTGGCGCAACCAACAAGCGATGGAAACGCGATGCTCACCCCAGCTCTTGGGGGGTTCTTAAAGAGGAACCGCGCCACCATCGACATGGACGACCCAACGGGACATTGCAACGGGACGTTGGGTCAGCAAGGCCGACTCACTTGCCACACAAACGCACAGCAATGTGGCGCAAGACCGACCCCGACGGCACCAACAGGGACGAGATTGAGAAGAGAACCCTCGTCGCGTCACGACCTTGGGAAAGAGCCAAGGACCCAGCCGAGAACGAATTGATTTGCCTCGACCCCCCCCACAGACGGGGGCTCGTGGACAAGAGTTGACCAACCGCCAACATATCAGCAATACTTTGTCTACGCAGGTGTAGATGAAGGCAGAGTTCGAGGACCCTTAAACGAAGACCATCCACTCTAAGACGCACTACCAGAACGACTACGAGGCCCAGGATTTCCTCCTCTACGCAACCGGCGAGTACTGCAATTCATAGACGCCAGCGAAGTACTGCCACCAATGTTTCTACTTGACCGACATCCTCATCACCTGTGGAGCCAAAATCACACACCCACACAGCGACAACCTGTTCTTCGGCACAGGCACTCCACACCTAACACCACAGACGCGGGCCGGCTTGCACGCCCACTGGTCGAGGTCGACGACGACAAGCTAAACTACCTCAAGAAATTCAGCCGTTCTTAACTTCGACTTTGAATATTAGGTACTCCCTTTCGACGCGGACTGTCTGCCAGCCGCGCCGTCGTCATCTCATTCGATTGGGACCTGACGTTTGTGCGCCAATTCACGGAGGAATCCGACTTTGGGAGAGAGGCTGGGCTATAAGATTGGCATATTCGCGTGTCGCAGGACGTCATGTCCGTCAGGCCGCCCCCTTGGGCTACCGTGCAAGGTGCATGCTGAGGCCCTCGTGCGCGCCTGTAAAGTATTGCGAGATTCGAGTCTAGATGCCCGTTCGTGTGTAATGAGGGCTGTTTGACTAGAGTCCCTGAGCTTGAAGGTCATGAGTGAGGGGTCCGTGCCATTTTGGCTCAAGACCCGCCTCGCCTACTCATTCCTCATCACTCTCCAAACGTACTATCCTACCATCCCCTTCCCCATCTTTTCTCACCTGTTGTGCTGCGACCGCTCTGTTCAGAGCGGCACTGTCAGGACCGTGCAGTGCGTCTGCCTGTGGAGGTGGAAAACCAGACATCCTCATCCTCCCCGCTGTCGTCCGTGGTGCGATAGTGGTAGCGGAGCTTTGAGCAGCTCTGTATCCGCGGACCGAGATGGCAGCAGAGAGGACCGATGATAATCTGGACTCGCGACAGACGCATGATGGGAGACAGTCCACAGTGCAGGCCGTGACGGGCACGTTATTACAGCAGGACGGTCTCGGACTCAGTGAAGAGGCAGCGCGGTACTTGGCGAGCACCCTCCTTCGAGCTGCACGGGCGCGCGAACCGTCAGGGAATGCCCAGCGGCAGCCGACTGGCGAGGACAACGACGACAGCTGGAAGGAGGTCGACACAGTATGGCCCAAGGAGGGCTCGGCGACCGCTCAGGCGGGCTGGCGATCAAGCTGGAAGGAGAGTCAGCCAACCCAGAGGGCGGCCGAAGCCGGGACAGGACCCTTCGGGGCGTCCCAGGGCGGGCCAGGCTGGTGGCAGGGAGGCAGTTGGACGGACGAGCCGGTGTGGCAGGGCAGACACCACGGCGGCGACAAGTCCGGCTGGGCGACCCGGCCGACGTGGGGCTTGTCAGACGTCTGGGGCGCCAAGGCGACCGAGGCTTCCGCCTGGGGTCGCAACGACTGGCGATCTGGCGAGCAGCAGACGGACACGTGGAATCCAGGCTGGAGTCGTACTGCAGATGACAAGTGGCGCTCTAGAGCTGGGAAGCGGGAGCCCAATTTCGATCGGCGCTACTCCGACTGGGGCGATTCCAGCAAGCAGGGCAAGGATCTCACAGATCCCGAGATGTGGTCGTCCTGGGCCGACTATCGCATGCGGCGTCGCAAGGCCTTGCGATGGAGATCCCTGACCGACGTGCCGATGCACAAGCAGGCGGACAGGCTCTTCCGCTCTCTGGACCAGGATCTCCAACGGAAGCTCGGGCATAGACGACGCTACGTTGCGTGGCCCTCGCGGGTTCGACACCATAGTTCAACGCCTCGATCTCTTGTCAGGTGAAAGGCAGGGCGACGAGCTCCGGAAGGTGGCTCGTGAGTGTCTTCTGGATTACAGCCGCAAGCAGGGGGGTAATCTGACTGAGTATTGCGCCCGCATCGACGCGGCCTTCGATCGCGCGGCTACTCAGGGTCTTCCGCTCCCAGACGACTGCAAGCTGATGTTCCTCGAGGAGGGGGTCGGCCTGGACGAGAAGACCGCTCAGCTCAGATGGCGAAGGTCCCCATGAAGGACCAGAGGAGCTACGCCGCGGCGTTGAACGCCATGCGAGAGATGGACATCACGCATGCCGAGCACCAGAGGGCCCGGCCGACGACCTATGCCACGATGTCTTCTGGCGACGGTCGGAGCGCTACAGCGCCGCCCCCGCCGGTGCCAACTTACCAGGTCGAGGGCGACGACTCGCTGGTCGACTACTCGGACGTCTCCTCTCTCAACTCCGAGGGCGAAGCAGAGGCCCGGGCCACCCGCGAGGCGGCCGGCGCCGGGGAGGACGACGCCCAGGCAGCGCTCGCCGCGCTCGACCAGGAGCGTCGCGAGACCTGGAAGCAGGATCGGGACCTGAAGAGGCAGCTGAAGGTCGACAGGAAGTTCCACGACAGGTCTGCCTCCGCTGGAGCCCGTGGCGCCGATTGGCGCGAGAAGCCTCGCAGGCTTGGCCGCGGGCGGCGGCGGGCGGCGCCTTTTCGACCCCGAAAGGGGCGCCTGTCACTCCGGGAGCTGATCATGCGCGCTCGGTGCCGGCTGTGCCACCAGAAGGGCCACTGGTCTCGCGAGCGCCCGAAGCGCCAGGACCAGGGTCAGAGCGGGGAGGATCAGAAACCAGCCGTGACGGGAGCATCGCTTCTGTAATTATGTGAATGTAGTTGACGGTTCTCAGCCTACTCTCACCTTTGACGACCCCCTCCTCCCTCGCATGCTGCAGTTTTGCTCGCCGCGGGACCAGGTGCCATGGTCGTGGACGCAGCTGCTGGCCATGGGCCTCATCGGGGAACCCGCTCTCGGGAAGGTCGAGGAACGCTGGGCCTGCAAAGGCTTCGCTATCCCAAGGGCCCCTCCGAGGAACTCCAACGCTCGAGGCGTTGGGGGAGGGGTCACCGTTTTAGCGACCGCCCTCGTCCTTCTGGGCGTCGAGGGCCGGGTGGGGTTCTAGAGCTGGACGTCCTAAGCCAGGAAGTCCCCCCTCTGTTGCCAATAGGTTTCCAGGAGCGCAGTGGCGGGCCTCCCGAATCAGACCATGGGGTTCACCAAGTTGGGGGTCAGCGCGCCCATGGTGCGTCTGCCCTCGGCGCATCGCACCATCCAGGTAGATATTTGTTCCGCTGCCGCCAAGGATTCCAGCGCCCCAGCATCGATCTTCCGATCGCGCCCGCACTTGCGCAAGAACGCTTATCAGGCGAAGGGAAGGTGCATCATCCCATCTTCGCCCTTTGCCCAGCCAAGCCTTGGGGGAGGGGTTGTCGGAAGCTGCTGGGGGGGGGGTCTCTGGGGCCTGAAGGGCCAATTAGGGCGTCGCCGGGTTTTCTACTGGGCCAACATTCGGACAGGGGCCGAGGGCGAGCCTCCGACTCGCATTCCAGCAGTCTCGGGAAAGATCGATCGTCCGGGGAGCTAGCTAAGGGATCAGGTTTCAGAGGGCAGGCCCATTTCATCATCGGGGCCATCCACGGGGTCGGGGCCGGGAGCTGGGACGGCGAGGACGGCCACCTCCGCCCCTGTGGGATCCAGCGCAGAGTCGAGGGCCAGGTTGTGGCGCGAGACGGGGCCTCCGAGGGCAACCTCAGCTCCTTCCTCGTCCTGCCCCACCACAGCATCTGGGCTCAAACCATGTGGCACGCAGCAGTTCGACGACACCTCTGGCGACAAGCGCACAGAGGACTTGAACTACCAGGATCCAGGCAGCAGCGATGTCATCACCCCGGCCGACGACGACCAAGCCGGGCGGCCCTCGCGGGCGTCGCGGGGCCCAGGAACGCACAAGTACGATGACCGACCGCATGGCGGTCAACTCGGACTCGGGTTGGTTGCAC